AATCCCCATACATACCTATGCCCATCTAGCTGCCGTTGACGCCCCTCTCTCGTCCCTTTGCCTTTTAGTCGCTGAACATTCGCCAACTTAATTGAACGATTAGTTTTTGTACGTGCTGCCACGCCCAGCGCCCAAGGGTACCTGCTCAGAACTCCAACGGTTAATGTCCAATGTCCGATGTCCACGCCCACAACGCCCATTTCAGTGCGCTTGTCTGGTTTGGCCACTATTTAATTTTATCTGCTTTGCTTTTATTCTCGTTTTTATCGCAGTAAACTATGTACAACAATTTGCTAGGCCAACCGACCGCCCCACTGCTCTGTCTCTCTCTCTCTCTCAATATATATATATCGATGTCGCTCTTCTCAGCTCCTCGCTCTCTTGCTCTTTGCTTCCTGCGCGCAATTTCGTTTCTTTTCGCATTCGCCTTTTTGACTCTTTCCCTCGAACAAAGTAATAAAAAAAAGTCAAATGCCATAGCGCCAAAAAGTCAAAAGGCCAAAACAACAACGACAACAACAACAGCAACTAATAGTAGTAGTTGTAATGGCAATAAAGCAGCAACAACAACAACAACAATATTAAGAGCAATATAACAACAACTTTGCTTTTGGGTGGAAAGTTAAAAGCGCACAATAAATAAATGAAACAACGCAAACGCACGAAACGATACACAGAGATGCGTATTTGTTGTTGCTAATGTGCTGCTCATTGTTGTGCTGTGCGCCATGTCCAGGCGGCATAAACACAACTACATACATACATACCCACAAACACACAATACAATACACAACACCTACACACATACCAAAATAGTGGCAATGCTGGAACGCTAGAAGGCTGTCACAGCGGCAGAGAGAGACCGAGCGAAAGAGGGGGAGAGAGAGAGAACGGAGAGCGGCATAGTAGCTCTGCTAGTCAACAGCAGCAGCCATAAAGCCGGCAGTATTTGGAGTACAGTCGTAATTTGAAGCAACACCCGTCAACTGGCGACATTATGCCTTCAGGCGGCCGAGTCACACCCACGCCGTCCCCACAGGTTGTTTTAGCTTGCTGCCCAGCTGGCAAGCCAAGAACGCACGCTCCTGTTAATTGCTGATAATGATGAAGATGTCCTTGACACACACTCTTCCAATCTTGCACAGTGGAGCAGAAAGAGCGAGCGTTGCAAAGTGATCAAGCGATTCACAGACAACAACCAAATGATCCACTGTAAAAGGCGCCAAGCTGTAAAGAGAGCTATAAAACTTTGCTCTCTAGTCTGTGCGCTGGAAAGAGAGCTATAAAAACGGCAACTAGCGTGAGAGAGAGATCTGTAACAGTAAAGCAAAACAGCACATAAATTGCCACCAGACAAGCCACTGTAAAAGTATGTACGCTGTTAAACTGCGCTCTTTCCTCTCGATCTGTAATAAGATTAAAAAATAATAATAAACACTTGAAAACAACTAGCTCAAGGCTTTGTTTTTGTGACGGAGCTGGAACAAAAAAACAATGAGCATGAATAACAAAATAAAGCAACAACAAAAAGATCAATTACAGCTAATAAAAAAGACAAGAATCTGTTAAGTGTGAGAGGGGCATGAACATGAATAGAACAAGAGCAGTTACTTTCCTCTCCCTGCTGTTAACTTATGAATGCCACTGTTACAGCGACTGTTGTTTGTTGCCGTCGACGTAAACGCACACGCGCGTGAATTAAGGCGTGCGACTGTCAAACGGTAGCAGGAGTCGACTACAACAGCAACAGCAACAACAGCAGCAGCAGAAGTTGAGGTGCTGTAGTAGTTGAGGCAGACTGTGCGTTAATGTCGAGACCGCCTGTCTGCCAGTCTGTCGCTTAATGTGCGTGTGTGTGTGTGTGTGTGTGTATACAAACACACGCGGTAATTAATTTTATTTAATTTTCGACGACAATAAAAGCGACAACAGCAACAAGAGTCAAGGAGCGACAGTCGTCAACCGCCGCTGCCGCCCCCAAAAGTTGACAGCAAGAACTATGTATGCGACCCAAAGAGTGTTGAATGGCAGCTGGCAGTTGGCAGCTGGCGGATGGTGGTGCACAGGAAAAAACAAGTTAACAAAACGTCAACAATAAAAAGAAAGCCGGCCAAATGGCCATTCGATGCGGCCAACGGTGACGGCGAAGACAATGCAGAAACAAGCAAAGAAAAAAACCGAAAAAAGATTTGTCGCTTATCGACTAGGCGCTACCCTGTGCCCAGCAAATGTCTCTCTGAATATAAGACAAGCATTATCAGCTATCAACATATTAATAAATTAATTAATTCAATTAATCAACTTTTACATTAAATTTATCGAAATCTGAGGATGAACTGCCAGGCAGATAAGTTTCATGCAAGCGCAACATATACCCTATTCGCACCATTGCGTACAGGGTATACAAAAGGAAAAAGAAATGGCCAAATGGCAAATAGCGAGTGGGTGGACATGGGACACATAATTATCAGCCACATCAGCAGCAGAGTCACAGGCCGAGTCAGCCGCAGACGACGAAAGCATTGATAATCAGCAAAGCGCGGCTAACAGTAAGTTAGGGTGTGGGCGGCCACTGGCGCGGTAATGGGGCGGGCAAAACTAAAAACTGCCAGGACATAGACATAGAGAATAGCACGCACAGAGCTAGCACAATGGAAGGAGGAGAGGCAGCGGCAGAGCAGGGAGAGACAAAAGAGATGTAACGGAATTGTCGAAACGAAACAAAATAGGGAAAACAAGTTTAACTTAATTGTCAACATTGCGCCAAGGAAAGAAGCCTGAAGCTGATGCTGAAGCTGATGCTGAAGCAGAACTGAAGAAGAAGAAGAACAACAACAACAACAGCAGCAGCGGCATCAGCTTTGCGGAAACGAAGCCGACAGTAAAAAAAAAACGCATGAAAGTGGCGAAAAGCAGTAAGCGGAAGAGCATAAAATAACGGTACTAATGATGCAGCACGCAACGCTCGCCGAATGGCCCAACCAAACTGTATAGTACACGGCAAATGGCAGCTGAAGTTGAAAGTAAAAGCTAAAGTTCCAAAGTCGCTGGATGAGTACCGTTAAATGCAGCTCAGCTGTCAATTTGGCAAATTTAATGCGCATAAAACAGTGAGGCAACACACATTTGACATGACGTTAAATCAAACATTTGTGTTGTTTCTCTTTTTTTATTTTTAGCTTTTTATTTTTCAAGAATAAAATGATTTTTGACACGGGATGTTGGATCAAAGATTTCTTTTGAATTTTGCTTGAGAACAAGATGATTTGTGACAGTGGCTGATCCAACATCCATATGTAGTGTGGTGTATTGTATGTAATTTTACATATGTATGTATGTATGTATGTATGTGAGTTGTAGCTTTACATGTGCTGTTTGTTTACATTCATACATGTGTATGTTTTTTTTTTATTTATACTCTGAATATATGTAAGCGGCAAAAGAAGGCGTGATAGGCCCATTAATATACATATATAGTATATATATTCTTGATCAGGCTGACGAGCTGAGTCGACTTAGCCTTGTCCGCCTGCCAGTCTGTCTGAATTT